ATCCATGATACTTTCTTCACTTAACTCAGCCTCTGTGGCTTCTTCTCCACTCGCTGTCGCCACCGTTACGATTTCATCGGTAGTCTTCACGTCTGTAGTGCCTTCTCCACTAACTGCTACCTCGGTAAAACTTTTAGTGGCCACTACATCTGTAGCGCCTTCTCCGCTAGCTGCTGTAACGACTTCCTCGGTGGTCTTTCCTTCTGTAACGCCTTCTCCACTAGCCACAGGCTCCGTTATACCCTCTTTTGTGGCCCCTACCTCTGTAGCGCCTTCTCCACTAGCCACAGGTTCCGTTGTGCCTTTATCAATGGCCCCTTCCTCTGTAGAGCCTTCTCCGCTAGCTGCCGCCTCTGTAACGACTTCATCGGTAGTCTTCGCCTCTGTAGCCTCTGTAGCGGCATCTCCACTAGCCACAGGCTTCGTGGCACCTTCTTCAGAGGCCTCTACCTCTGTAACGCCTTTTTCACCAGAAGCCGCCTCTGTAACGCCTTCTCCACTTGCCACTTCCGTAGCCCCTTCTTCAGTAGCCCCTGTTTCCGTAACGCCTTCACTACTTTCTGAAACCTCCACAGTTCCTTCCCCACTTTCTGCAGCCTCTTCCTCAGTGATTTCTGCCTCCGTAGCGCCTTCTCCACTGGCCACTTGCTTCGTAATACCTTCATCAGTAGCCCCTGCCTCTGCGGCACCTTCTCCCCTAGCCGTTGGCTCTGTTACACCTTCTTCAGTCATGCCTGCCTCCGTTGCAACTTTTGCTGTGACTAATGCCTGCGTGGCGCCATCTGCACTTGCCGCCTCCGTAGCTAACTCTTCAGTAACCCCTGCCTCCTTGGCACCTTTTCCACTAGTTACCTCCCCTTTAGCACCCCCTTCAGTAGCCCCTGCCTCTGTAGCACCTTCTCCACTAGCAGCGTCCTCCGTCACGCCTTCTCCACTTGCCGCTTCTGTAGCCCCTTCTTCTGGAGCCCCTGTCTCTGTTGCGCCTTCTCCACTTTCTAACACCTCCACCATACCTTCTCCGCTTTCTGCAGCTTCGCCTACAGTAGTCTCCACCTCAGCGCGCTTTATCTGCATGCTACCTTCTTCTCCAGCCGTCCCCTTCGTAACAAATTGTTCGAGGAGCGGTTCTGTGCGTTTTTCTGTTAGAAATAGTAATATTTTCTTAGAATAGTTTTCGAGTTTTTAAAGGAGTTATGCGAGCAAATTTGAAATTTGAATCTTTTCCTATTTTTTAGGAGATTGACCGTAGGATCTCGGTGTCTCACTGAACGTTTTACGTCCATTTTACACCCCACTCTCTGTCAAAGATTGAGCAATATGTCCCTTTTGTGAATGGTTCTGCAATAAATGATGTATGGAAGACAATTGAAATCTATCAAAGAGTGGCAAAGACGGACATATAGCGGACTTTATTGAGTTCATTCATCGCTCAAAATACTCTATCAGGAAATGAACGCGTTTTGGTAACGCGCAGGTATGATCTGTTTCATCCAGCTAATAATTTCACCCAAGATTTATTTCAAAAGTGAGAAGATACAGATTCAATCATTTAAGTTGCAATCCTCCTTTACCCATGTTACAACTCAGTCTTGGGATTAGCTTATAGCTGCACAGTACATGAATAATTAACAATTATTCTACTAGCGCGTGTTGGATATGAGATGATAGATAGCCAACGAGGCGCGTAGCGCCGAGTTGGCCATAATCATCTCCTATCCAACAAGCGCGAGTGGAATAATTGTTTTATTAAAAACGCCTCCAAGATATTAGTCAAATCTTACCAAGTCTTAAGTTTTTTAGCTCACTTTTAATTTCAAGCTCATGCACACGCTTACCATATTTGTAGATTATGGTATATTGGCTCATAAACCATAATGGCTAAGCCAATAAAAAATCTTGAATTGCATTATCCAATGATCCAGTTTTTAATAATATACTTTATAAAAAACTCGATCATTAGATAATGCAATTCAAGTCTTTTTATTGGCCTGGCCACTATGGTATATGAGCCAATATATCATAATCTAATATCTGTACATTGTAACATCCGGTTTCTTCTTGCATAAAATAAAGTCGAGAAGATTTGTCTAATATCTTGGGTTTTTTTTAATAAAAAAATTATTCCACTCGCACTTGTTGGATGTGAAATGATTATAGCTAACTCGGCACTACGCGCCTCGTTGGCTATCTATCATCTCATATCCAACACGTGCTTGTGGAATAATTGTTAAGTAGATGATTATTTTCTTTTATTCTTTTTAACTAGTCTGCATATCATTGTGTTGACTTTTACAAAAATAAATTACATATTGGTCACCTCTGGGAATGGAAGAGAGGGTTCCAGCCATCTTAGTCATTACCGCATACATTTATACCAAATACCTTTCATCTGATAAATCAGTCGGTCAATTTCATCATCAAAAGGTCTATACCAGTCATCATCGGCTTCGTTACAATTGCCATTAAGAGCGTCACAAGGATCTTTCGAGGGCGAGCCCTGATGTAGCCTTTCCAATCGTTTATTTATGAGTTGATCTGAAATTTAACAAGTGGTTGGTTACTGAAGCAGCACCGGCTTATTTTGTCAGAAATGGTGGGAAACTTTCTTTACAATTCCTTTGAATGTCACCAACAGGGCTAAGAGACGAGTGACCTAAAATTAACATGGTTTGGAAGAAGGGTAACATCGAAATTTTCAACAATATCCTTAAAGTTTGGTGATAAACGATGTTCACGTTAAGTGAGAAGCTTTGATAAGAAGCACAAACCACTACTTATATGTAAGATTTCTATAACACTTTTTTAGTAGCAGTGCTTCCCTTTATTTTACCTAAATGCAATTTTGGGGCGTTTAACATTAGAGTATAAAACTTTTATTTAACTTATATTTTTATCTTCACCTGTATCGATGTCATTTTCTTGATGCAAAGGAAACAGGCCATTCGCCGAAGTAACCACAACAAACAAAAATAACTGAAAGAAAAAAAAAGAGCACATTTACTTGAATGTGCCACGTAGCATAATGTATGAATTTGATTAACTAGTTATGGAGAATTCAGTAAATCTGTCAGCAGAGATAATTCATTTGAGAAAAACAAAGCCTTCAGGTTTTTCTCTCCCAAAGTACTTAGATTTGTTAAAAGGGGTGAATCTTGTCAGTTTTGAATTGAGGGAGGGGCTCTCTATGGTTTCATTCTCTTCTTGAAAACGTTACTGACATTCCAAATTGACTTTGAATGTATGTTCAGTTTTAAGGACCAACTTGACAACTCTGATGTTGAGACAAAAACAATATGTACTTGTTTTACTTGTTTGGTTGGGCCGGATGGGAAAATATTTGGCTCGAAGCCATTTTATCAAATAAACAGTAAATGTTGAAAATTTCGGAAAATCGTGTTTCACCCTAAAAAGGATGTAAGAGACGAGTGCACGCGGAACAACCACGAAAAGATTCCACAATAAAGCTTTTCCTTTTTTTTTCAACTCAGAAGAAACTCACTAAATGGATAGATAGATAGATAGATAGTGAGATAGAGAGAGAGAGATAGATAGATAGATAGATAGATAGATAGTTAAATTGCCTTATACATTGCAGCCCGAAGGCTGAATTGCGTATATACAAATGATTAAACTAGCATAGTGGGTTCATAACATTAAATACTTTAAATATAAAAGTATGTAAAAAAGGGATAAAATACAATAAAGGGACTTGGAAAAACCTACATATTTATATTAACGGTACAGGATCTTATAATAAAAAAACTGTTTCTAAAACGATCTGTCTTGCATTTGGGTACGATGAAGCGCCTATTGCACTTTGAGGCATAGCGTCACGGACCGCTAAGTTGAATTAACTTATTCAGATGATGTTCAGGGTCCTTTATAATGGTGTCGAAAGTATTAATACATAGCCCCACGATGAAATGGGGACGAATAAAATGGGGACGATGTTCATTAGTTCGATGGTCTCCTGGTAGGGCAGTTCAGGGCAAACTATAGACATAGCCCGCTTCTCGACTCGCACCAACTCGTCTGCTAAGTACTTTGGCAAAGCATAAAAAAAGGCAGGTGCCGCGTACGTAAGAACAGAGCGGATACAGGCAGTATGAAAGGTGGACATATCATGCCTAGGAACTCCTGATCTTTTTAACTGCACTAAAAAATACACACGCTTTGACGCTTTCTTGATTACGTGACTAACATGTTCGCTCCACTGAAAGTTTTTCGATATCGTCAGGCCTAGAAGTTTCGCACTAGTCACTACCTCTAGTTCTTTACCATCTACAATAATAGGCGCACACTGGGCCTCGTTCTTTGCAAAAGATATTCTGAGCTCCTTACACTTTTCGCGATTGAGTTTGACTCTATGCTGCATGGACCACTCCACAACCTTATCTGCGATATCCTAAGCATAACTGTAGTTGCCCTTGGACACGACTTCTGATACCGTCGTATCGTCAACGTACTTCCATACATAAGCTAAATTATCAAGAACTAAGTCATTTATAAGTACAAGAAACAGCCATGGGCCTAATTTAGTTCCCTGAGGGATCCCGGAGGGGAATGGACCCCACTCTGAGTACCAGTCCTCAGATAGTTTGATTCTTTGATTCTTTATTCACTAGTCCTCGCATTCATCGAAAAACACGACTTTTTTTATCCTTTTCTTTAAGTGATATGCGATTAGACTTTTCCTTTATTTTCAAGTCAGAACAAGAAACTCCCAATTCCTTGAAAAACGCGACTTTTTTATCATTTCTTTTTTCCTTTAAGTTTTTGCAACACAGCGACATGAGGGCAGCAGCACCGGTCGGCTTTTTCCGGACCGGCTTTCGTCGACCCGTTCAGCCGGCCGTGTGCACGTCGGTTTTCTTTATGGTTTTATCTATGGAACTACGCGAGCATGTTATAACCTCGACCCAGTATCCTTAATTTCCAGTCGTTATCTGGAAGTAACAAACGGCTGCGTTGGAGACAGAGCTGATCTTCTTTCCGCCGGGAGGGTTTAGCCGGGTATCGTTGCAGTGCAGGATAAACAATGACATGCAAAGACCTAAAAATATCATGAATCAGAACTACTGTATGTTGATCTGAGGCGAGGTTAACGAATTACTGGAGTCACACAAGCTCGCCAACGTATTTTGAACTGACAGCAACCTTCGAAGTCTCGGCCTCGATCGAGCCGGATCATACTTCCTAAGAATGAATTATCAAGAAAAGGTTCTTCATTATGCACGTTTCATTAAAAAAAGTATTTCCTCTTTCAAATTACGTCATATCGACAAGTGTAGGAGGAATATCATTATCTCAAATTCGTGGTAGAATTTATAGTTTATGACCGATTCAGCCAAAAACCGGCGAGGTGCCTTCAAAATGCTCTCGAGCAATAATTCGTTTTGTGGATATTCTTGTTATTATGACAACATTCCGTCATGAAAAAGCTATTAATGTGTTCTTAAATGTGCTCTTTTGTATTCTTTGTAAACATTCTGACGACATGGATCAAATTCACTCCTTATTTCCCTTTTTTTGTTTTAACGTCATGTTTTAATAGGTGTATTCGATTGTCTTCATTTTTTTCGCTTTCGTAGAAGGAAAAAATCTGAATAGCCTATTAACAATCCCATGGCAAAATCCAGGCGCGGCAATCTTTGTCGGCCAAAATTGGCGTCGCTCTTTCTTAGGATTAACATTATGACTGCTTGTCGCAAAAGATTGACCGAATCTGCTGCAATAATTGAAGTCAACGCAAACAGTTTCAACAGAATAGTTTAATAATATTCGTTCCGGACTAGTTCTCCTTAGCTTGTTGTCTGATAACAATCCAATTCATGTCGTGGGCTCATTAAAAAAACTTATGTTACTAAAGATTAGTGCTTGCGTTTTCTCTTCAATATACCTCCACAAACATTTGTTCTAGACATCATTCTTATTTTTACAATTTTCCTTGTTAACCTTAGCCTTAGGACACTTTCTTTGTGGCCTTAAGTATATCTAAGGTAGTGTATAATTTTCACGTTCCGCTCTGTTAAATTTTCCGTTTTCTATGTTGCTTCTGCCATAACAATCTTTTC